TTTTTTTTTTTTTTTTTTTTTTTAAATATTATGCTGGCACGGTACGATTATATTTCCGATGTTTTTCTACTTTCATTTCGCGTAAATTGCAAATTGTATTTTTTCGCATTTGCTATAGATGAGTTAACTCGTCATAATTCATTTGTCATGGTGTAAAAGAAAAATGCGCTCTTTGGTAAGTTGCTATATTAAAAGTTACTATAATAAAATTTTCTATTAAAAGTTACTATAATACATTGCGATAAAATGGCAATAACGCTAATTTTAAATTTTGTATGAATCATCATTTTAATCATAGAATTAGGTTATTCATTGTTTTCTAATTGTTTCTTAGAATAAATGAAACATATTTGCGCTCTGAAGAAAAGAACATATTTTCTTTATCGTTTTCGACTTACATTTTCTGAGGCATTATAATATTAATATATTGTGGTATGTTATTCTTCAGTCTCATTTGACAATTTAAGCTTGTACACTAATTTCATTTTTAATTTACTTTTAATTAAATAAGTAGCCCTCTGCAAATTTTACTAATCAAAAAAAAAGCATTATAGCATTTCAAAATTACATATAATTTCCGAGTTATTATTGATCATTAAATTTTTGTAATATCACTGGCTAATAGGATAGAATGGATATGCAACACTTTGTGTCTTACATTTTGAACCATTTTTCACATATATGACAATAATAAGTCTGAAAAAAGACTATAGTGCCAGTGAAATGATAGTATGTAATGTACAACTAAAAATTGTGACGATCAATTAAAACAGATATAACTTTTCAAATAGGCTCTTTTTGGAAGGAATGTACTGTTTGAAGTAACATTTTCTTTGCATAATAACAGATTTTCATCGATACAAAGATTCTCAAATGAATAAAAAAATCTAGCGAAATTTGCTTTAAGTACATCAATTACAGGCCGTAATTTTATTAACAGGTCATTAGAATCTTGTTCATTAATATTATTGAAGCGAATGTTATTAAATATTTCTAAATATCTGTCTCTTGACATAACATTAGAAAGATTACCCAATGATAATATTTTATCCATTGACTAATATTGTTTTAAAGGGTTCTTTTTTTTTTGCGCAATAAACATAGTCACAAAAAGAATCTGTACACTTCAGGCAATGAAATGTCTTTCTAAATTTTTGCAGATAGTGAATCGATCGGCCAAGACTTGCTCTTGCAGACCAAAGTTGAAGCCTGGTCGATTCAGAGCCCCTAACAACATCATTGGAGCATCAAGTCTGGAAAATTAAATAAAGAACTTTTAAATACATGGCTGATAATTCTGACAGTGCAGCCCTCTTATTTGATTCATGGAACGGATATAATGACGAATTGATGCAAAATGTAATACCAGAAGAAAAAACATTAGAGCTGCTAAAAGTACCAAAAGACACAACAGAATTTATTCAGCCATTAGAATGGCTGTTTATGCCTTCCACATTTGGAAAAATTTTGCAAGGAAAATTTAACTCGGACTTAACAATTAATTTAGATGTTAATCTCAACCGACATATCCGAAATAATATAAAATTATAATCCACAATCAATTGTGAAATCCTCCCCAAGATGCAGAGAAATGTTTAAATACGCGTTTAAATGTGATTATTCGAAAATACAGTGAAGTTTTGCTTCACAGATTTGAAGTTTGACATTACAGTTTTGACTGTGATGAAGAATTGTTGCCTTAACTCCTTGACATACAATGAAGTCATTCATTTCATGTAGACTTTGACGTCTCCGAGACGTCCAGAACTATCTCGAGCGGACGCTATGCAGTATATTATTAGATTATTCAATAATTTCACTCGTGCGTTAATTCGCTTTTGTTTATAATGTTCGAGACTCTCTCACCTTCTCAACAGTACCGATAACAAAATCGCGTCGGCAAACCAATAAACCAGAAAGATGCATTGAAAGCAGTGTTCACTATAGCAGTGATCTCGCAGCACGGCGAATGCCATACTGTATATTTTATAATTTAATAAAAATTACAAATAATCCTTGTAACATGTCTGAGTTGAATGTATTGTATGAAAGTGATGATAAAGGACTAATGAGCTATTCAAGTGAAAAAAGTGTTTATCAAAGTGTTCATACCGTTGACCACTCAAGTGATGATTCAAATTCCAGTGAAGCTAGCTCCGTTCAACAAAATGTGCAAGACTTATATCAAGCAGTGATGATTCTGACGTAGCAGAGGATGAATGGAATTGGAAAGGAAAAGAAAATATTGTAAATATAAAACAATTTACTGAAACATCCTCTTGTTTTACGAAGACTGGGAACAAATGCAACACATCTGTGTGTTCTAAAACAAGTTTTATGTGGCGATTTTTTTGAAATGACAGTCAGAGAAACAAATAGATATGCAGTTCAAATGAGAATAAAACAGAATAGAACAGAATAAAATGAACGAAGAGTGGTTTCCAGTAACAACTGATGAAATCAGGGCATATTTTTCGTTATGCATTATAACGTCACAGGTAAGAAAGTCTAAAATAGTATTGGTCAAAGTGAAAAATACTAGAAACACTCATCTTCTATATAGCAAATTATGCCTCGTAGACGTTTTTTGTCTAAAACGCACTTTCTTCATTTTGTGGATAATAAGATGGTTTTTTCAACAATTATACATTCCGGAAGAAAATGTCGTCATAGACAAATCCCTAATAAAATTCAAATGGCGGCTGAATTACGTACAACTTATCGCATCAAAACGAGCGAGATTTGAAATTAAATTTTACAAATTATGTGAGTCCAATTCTGGGTACTGTTATCGATTCAAAATCTACACGGGACAAGATAAAATTGAAGGAAGTGATATACTTGTATCGCAAAGTGTAGTCATGGAACTGGCCGAACCCATTTTAGGGAAAGAATATACCTTGTTTTTAGACAACTGGTATTCGTCACCAAAATTATTCCAAATTTTGAATGAAAATAATACAAATGTTGTTGGGACGGTCAGAAAAAATCGAAAAAAATATGCCAAAGAAGCTTGCATCGCACAATGCAACTAATGCATTGCAACTAAAGAAGGGAGATGTGAGAACATTATCTTGCAGAAGTATTCTGTCCTTAGAATATTGGCTTGATAAGAAAGATGTTTATGTAATTAGTACTAAACATTCAATGGAAAAATAAGAAGAAAGAGGGGAGGTGAGGAAGATAATGTTTTAAAACCCAGCTGTGTAGTGGAGTACAGGCAAGACCAGGCTCTCATGCGAAAGTGTGTCAAAGGATATAAAAAAAATGTTCTTTTATATGTTTGATATAGCTATCTATAATGCTTATGTCCTATATTTTAAGTTACCTAATTCACCAAAGCAATCGATTGTAAATTTTCGATTAAATATTGCAGAAGATATGTTTTGTTAGTTGTCTCTTCCTAACTATCAGACACGTGGCAAAACATTGGGCACATTTTTCTCAACATATACCTTCGACTGATAAAAAGGAACATTCTGCAAAGAGATACCATGTGTGTGTAAAACAAAATATAAGAAGCGAAACAACTTGGCAGTGTAAAAAATGTCTAGTTCCTTTACTAGTTCCAAAATGTTTTGAAATGTTTCATACATCAAAGAACTACTAAATTATTATTTTATAATGTTACTTAATTATTGTTCATTAACATTATATATCAACCTGATTGAATGTTATATAGCAATGCAAATTTCAAAATAAAACGTTCTGTTTCTAATCAAATTCCGTTTTATTTGTATATTAAGGGATTAAAATGTTCGTGGTGTAAAAAACATTTGTGTTTATACCATTTCTTCGAGGAATACCACGACTACGAACATCACATTGAACGACTGAATATCTTGAACATGTCTATTTAAAAAACACAGTAAGTATTGAATAATAAAATCGACAATTTATCAGAACTAAAATATACTAATATTTAGCATTTTAAAACATATTTACGAACAATTCCACTCCGCTATACACTCTGCTTTCTACGTCCAGTGAGAAAGATTTGAAAATAATAAAATTTTTTTATGATGAAAAAATCAAGATTCTAGTTTATCCGTAATTTGTATTTAAATATACGATATTCAAGAAAATTTGTTAACATTTACCTGGGAGAACTTATGGTTTTTTAATATATGTTTAAACAAAAGGTTTTTTAAATTCACTAATTCACACAAAAACAATATCTTCAATAATTTCCGAGATAATTAACAAAATATCAATTGGGAGGGGGGGGGCCGCAGTTTAAGATGATCCCCAACTTTAAGGATAGTTTTCACCCCTTCAACATCAATTATTGCCAATAAAAAAAAAAATACAGGTCGAATATTTTTTTGAAAACTATATTCATGACAAATTTCATCAAAATCGGCGATTCCGACTTTGGAATGTTCCCTTGTCAGAGATAGAAAATTAATGGATTGGAATACGACTCAAAGAAAATTAGAACGAGCAGCAAACTAAATGGATACGAAGTCAAATTTTCCAACTATCGTAATTTCGAGCCTGACTTGAGTAAAGACGAAATGGCGGCTCAGGCAAGCGACAATAATTTGAGACTTCTCCTTGACAAATTTAAAAAAAAAGCTAGAAGAGTATATTTAAAATCTACAAAATTCTAGCCAAAGAGAATGCAGCTAGATCCAAAGAAATGAAAGAACTATCTCGAAACATAAATATTAAAATTTATTCTGTAACTAGCGACGCAAGCTTCAACTTTAGCAAGCAATATCGCGCACTCACAACAAAGATACCAGATCAGTGAAAACGAAGAAGATCCTCAAGATGTAAGAATGCAGAGCAACACTCGAAATAACAAGCCAACCATCAGCCATGCAAACGATTAGACATGAAATCGAAGATTTCATCTCTAAAGTCAGGTACGCTAAATCCTAATGTTCGAATGAATACTTACTTCTAGAATACTTGCTAAGAAAATGACATGTTAAACGAAGCCTGAGATATTTGCGGATCATTATGAAGAATTTTATGAAGCACTTCGAACAAATTTGACCACATCGATAACTGCAATCAGCGCAAGAAAATAACTCGAAACCGTACTGCAAGGAGAACATGAAACTATACAATTACACTATGAAATAGTGCAATTGTTCCTTGGCGATGATTTATTTGAATTATTGGTAACAGAAACTAATAGATATCGCTCTCAAGTATCAAACAAGTACAAA